AAAAACCCGGGACTGGGAGGAGTTCGGAGAGTCCATGGAGCATGACTATCGGTCGGCCTCGAAGAGATTCTGGCAAACCATCCGGCGCCTCAGGAGGGGGAAGCAGTTCTTTGCCAACACCATGTACGGTGCGGGTGGAGAGCTGCTGACCTCAACTGGGGATATTGTCGGGCGGTGGAAGGAATACTTTGAGGTTCTCCTCAATCCCCCCGTCACGTCCTCCGTTACAGAGGCAGAGGCTGAGGATGTTGGGGCAGATACATCCATCTCCCTGGCTGAGGTCACCAAGGTGGTTGGCAGCCTCCATGGTGGCAAGGCTCCGGGTGTGGATGAGATCCATCCTGATTATCTAAAGTCTCTGGATGTTGTAGGACTGTCTGGCTGACACGTCTCTGCAACATCGCGTGGCGATCGGGGGCGGTGCCAATGGAGTGGCAGACCGGGGTGGTGGTCCCTCTCTACAAGAAGGGGGACCGGAGGGTGTGTTCCAATTATCGTGGGATCACACTCCTCAGCCTCCCCGGTAAGGTCTACTCCAAGGTACTGGAGAGGAGGCTACGGCCGATGGTCGAATCTCGGATTCAGGAGGAGCAGTGTGGTTTTCGTCCCGATCGCGGAACACTGGACCAGCTCTATACTCTCCATCGGATACTCGAGGGTTCATGGGAGTTCGCCCAACCTGTCCACATGTGCTTTGTGGATTTGGAGAAGGCGTTCGACTGTGTTCCCCGGGGTGTCCTTTGGGGGGTTCTCCGGGAGTATGGGGTTTGAGGTCCTCTGCTGAGGGCCATCTGATCCCTGTATGACCGGAGCCAGAGCTGTGTTTGCATTGCCGGTATCTGTTCCCGGTGAATGTTGGCCTCCGACAGGGCTGCCCTTTGTCACCGGTTCTGTTCACTGTGTTTATGGACAGAATTTTTAGGCGCAGCCAGGGGTCAGAGGGGGTCCGGTTCGGAGACCACAGGATTTCATCTCTGCTGTTTGCAGACGATGTTGTCCTGTTGGCTCCAACGAACCAGGACTTGCAGCATGCACTGGGGCGGTTTGCAGCCGAGTGTGAAGCGGCTGGGATGAGAATCAGCACCTCCAAATCCGAGGCCATGGTGCTCGACCGGAAAAAGGTGCCTTGCCCTCTACAGGTGGGTGGAGAGGTCCTTTCTCAAGTGGAGGAGTTCAAGTATCTCGGGGTCTTGTTCACGAGTGAGGGAAGAATGGCGCGTGAGATTGACAGGCGAATCGGTGCAGCGTGCGCAGTGATGCGGTCGCTGTATCAGACCGTTGTGGTAAAGAGGGAGCTGAGCCGAAAGGCTCCTGGCCTGGTCCCGCTAATCCGCACCGGCCTGATCCCGCGGATCTGCTCCTGGCCTGGTCCCGCTGATCCGCACCGGCCTGGTCCCGCGGATATGCTCTTGGCCTGGTCCCGTGGATCTGCTCCTGGCCTTTTCGTGTGTAATGTCTCTTGCCCAAAGACGCAGTTTCCGCACCGCTAAACTCCTCCTCCCTTCATTCATAATTCCCCTTTTTAGAGTGGGAACGAGCCAAGTCAACCAATTGCTGTCTGGGGGTGTGGACTGCTCCAAAGCCTCTGCCGTAGTCCAATCTACTCACAGCAAAACACAGCAAACTACACTAAAATACACACTTGGATGCAAAAGATACAACGGGCAGAGGACTACAGCTAGATTAGATGGGTGTCACTGACATTCCCCCCGTCTATAATATTGGTCGTCCCGATCAAGCTCAGTCACCATATCTGACAGGTCTTTTTCCTATATTTATACGTTGAGACCGTCGTGCACTTTGGGGAAATTGTTCTGAATGCTCAGGTGGAGTAGCAGGCTCTGGCCTCCTTATATTTGCTTGAACTGGGGCCCTGGCTGATTCTGGGAGGTACGACTGAGTTACCAGTTCTGGAGCCACCATGTCGGAGGGGGCTGGCACATTTCACTCTTTGGTTCGGCTGCTTCTGGGGTTGTAGACTCCTGGCTGGGCTCCAACACATTTAACGGACATAGCCTCAAGTTATTTCTGTGAATGGTGCGTGTAGGAGAGTCTTTACCTTCAGGGCATATGACATACACCGGATGATCTTTGCGCAGCGGAGCCACGACGACATAGAGTTCCGGGTTCCATCTGGGGGACAGCTTCCCACCTGCACGGCGACGGAAGTTTCGGATGAGGACACGCTCCCCCGGCAACAGGGGCGCAAGCTTTGCCCTCCGGTCATAAAGCGTACGGTCATTTTCTTGTCTCAGTTCAGTCTTTTGTTTTGCCACTTCATAAGCATGGTTGAGTGCCTTTTGGTGTCCTTTAACCCATCCTTCTAGAGAGTGGCGGTCAGCGGTGGGCCCCATCCCTGTGGTCCAATCTACCACCCACACCATACCAAGTAGTGGGGGATCAAACCGGTAGTTCCATGGGGGGTGTTGTTATAGGCCTGGACAAGTGCTGGTAAGTGGGTATGCCAGTGTGCCTGTTGGGTTTCTTCCAAGGACCCCAAGAGCCCCAGGAGGGTTTGGTTAAACCGCTCGCAGGCCCCATTCCCCTGTGGGTGGAAAAGCGGTCGTGCGGTCTTTTTGGCAGCCGTAGAGTTTAACACAGTTGGGCTATTAACGCTGATTCGAATGTAGCCCCTCGGTCGCTGAGGATGCGCTCTGGACATCCGAAAATGTGGATCCAATGTATGCACAACGCGCGTGCTGTGGTCTCTGCTCCCTGGTCTCTAGTGGAGACAGCAACAGCAAATTTTGAAAATAAATCAGTCACAACAAGAATATACGTGTACGGGTCCCCATCTCGTCCCAATGATAGGTAATCTATACCCACAATCTCAAATGGGTATGAGGTGACGATTGGCAGTAGGGCGGCCCTCCCGTCGGGTCCTGGTTTGTGATATATACTGTACACTGGGGGCAGTGCTCTGTCCACTCTTTTACATCCTCCGTCATTCTAGGCCAGTAACAATGCCGTCGTAAGGCCGCCAGTGTCCTCTCACAGCTAGGATGACCCATCTTTTCATGGTAAGCCCGCCACAAACTTTCAGTCTCGTGTTCTGGAATAATCTGTTGAAAGATCTGTACCCCTGAGCCTGGCTCAACCCATACTCTTCCAAGAACATTGTTTTTAAGTGAAATATGGTCCCATTCCATCAACAATCGTTTTAGATATGGGGATGTGTTGTGTACCTCTGGTCGAGTCTGCTGCTGCCCTTTCCATTGGCGTAGCAGGGCCAGGTCTGGGTCTTTGGCTTGTCGCTCCCTCCACTCTCCCATGTCCAGCCCGATTACGATTTTGTATTCCTGGACGGTACTTTATATTGTACCTGAAGTTTGCCAACTGGGCTGCCCATCGCTGTTCCACAGCTCCCAGCTTTGCTGTCTCCAGATGCACTAAGGGGTTGTTGTCGGTGAACACTGTAAACTCCGCGCCGTATAGATAGTCCTTAAATTTCTCTGTGACCGCCCACTTCAATGCCAACAATTCCAATTTAAAGGAGCTGTAGTTCTGATCGTTACGCTCTACGGGTGATAAACTACGGCTGGCATAGGCTATCACGCGTTCCTTATCATCTTGGACTTGTGCCAGGACCGCCCCTAATCCCTCAAAACTGGCATCAGTATATGGGCGTAAGGGTTTCGAAAGGCTGCATTGGCCAGTATTGGGGCATTGAGTAACGCAGTTTTTAGCTTGTCAAATGCACCCTGACATCCCACAGACCAATTTACTGGTGCGGTCTTAGGGGTATTAGTTGTATTCCGTGTTAGGGCGTTCAACGGTATCGCAATTTTTGAAAAATCTGGGATGAAACGCCTGTAATAGCCTGCAAAGCCAAGGAAGGACTTTACCTGCTTCACGGTTTTGGGTGTGGGCCACTCTTTCACGGCTGCAGCCTTCGCTGGGTCAGTTGCTACCCCTTCCTCACTGATTACATGGCCAAGGTAAGTCACCTGCTGTTGGAATAGGCTACACTTCCTTGGTTGTAGCTTCAGCCCATGTTCATCCAGCCGCTGGAACACTTCTTCTAGGTGGCGGAGGTGGCTATCAAAATCTGGAGAAAACACCACAACATCGTCAAGATATATCAACAATGAGTCATTTACCAGACTACCGAGGCAGCGCTGCATAAGTCTTTGGAAAGTGGCCAGGGCATTACACAGCCCAAAGGGCATGCGTTCGAACTCATGAAGCCCAAAGGGTGTGGTAAATGCGGTTTTCTCCCTGTCTGCCGGATCCATCTCCACTTGCCAGTATCCACTGGCGAGGTCTTGCGTGGAATACCATTTTGTAAGTAAGTAAGTAAGTAAGTAAGTAATCTTTATTTATATACCGCCTTTCACAGACCAGAGTCACAAAGCGGTTTACAATTGTTATTATTTTTGGGCATTTGTCCACTCACTCCACACAGAGATGGGAGCGGGGTCGCCAGTACAGGCGGCGCATGCCAGACCTATTGTGCATGTTTTTAGTGGTAGGGGAAACCGGAGTACCCAGAGGAAACCTACGCAGACACGGAGAGAACATGCAAACTCCACTCAGAAAGGCCCTGGTCCGGCCGGGATTCGAACCCAGGACCTTCTTGCTGAGAGGCGAGAGTGCTATCCACTCAGCCACCGTGCCACCTTCAGCCCCGTCAAAGATTCTTCAATGCGTGGCAATGGGTAAGCGTCTCTATGAGTAACCGCATTGAGCCTCCGATAGTCCACGCAGAACCTCCAGCTCCCATCTTTCTTCTTCACAAGAACAATGGGGGCCGCCCATGGGCTGGCACTCTCCCACACCACTCGAGTCTCCAACATGTTTTTCAACAAAACTTGTTCTGTATACAAGCTCGGGGGAACGGGTCGGTACCTCTCACGGCTAGGAGGGGCGGTACCTGTTGGTATTCGGTGTTGGACTGCACTCGTTCGGCCAAAGTCTTTGTCATGGCATGAAAACACCCTCTTCCATTTATTTAAGAGCTCTGCCATTCTCTGTTGTTCCCCCGGGTCAAGGCCATGCCCCTATAGAGATAGAACTGGGTGAGACTCTTCATCTGCAGTCAGGTCAGTCCTCAAACGCCTCATGGCTACTCCAATAATGTCCGGTGCCACACTGTCCAATACCATTTCCTGTTCTCCTTTGATGTCCGAGGCAGTCACTCTGGATGGGACCCGGCCACCGCTGAGCCTCGTCAGGGTCCGTCCCACATACCACTCTGAATCACTATTAGGCAGAGGTTCAACAAACACATTGTATTGGTCTGCACTCACCTGCAGCCATAGCACCATGTCAGAAAGGGGCGGAATGGTTGTGGGGGATTGGCGTGGTACCTTGGCAACCCCCTGGTAAGCTGGTTCAGGACTCTTCATGGACACCCTCTGGCACTCCGCAAACGCCTGAGGCCAGACCTGGCCTTCAACCGTTGGTAACAGAGTCCTAACAGGGCGGCAGTAGCTCAGTTGGTAGAGTGCCAAACTGCTGTTGTGTCCTTAGGCAAGACACTTCACCCCCATTGCCTAGAATGAGTCTGGTGTGTTATGAATGGTTGGTGGTGGTCGGAGGGGCCGATGGCACATACTGGTTGCCTCGCTTCTGTCAGTGTGCCCCAGGGCAGCTGTGGCTACAGTAGTAGTTTATCACCACCGTGTATGGAGTGAATGAATAATGACACATGTGAAGCGTCTTTGAGTGTCCAAAAAAGCGCTATATAAAACCGATGCATTATTATTATTATTAAAAGCTGCCAAACCCAGGTGTGTTTAAGAGCCTCAGGAAGCGTTGCTTGTCAGGAAGTGGCTGCCTTTTAAACTGTCCGCTTTGCTGTGAGAGGGTTGGCAGGAGGCTGGCGGGGCTGTGTGATGGGCAGAGGCTTGGAAGGGGGAATTTGCACTCGGTCTTTCAGTCTGAACCTGTGCATTCAGCTTCATAATTATATACGTTAATGGACTTTTGAACAATATTCTTATTTTCCGAGTTTCCCCTGTGTCCTATGACGTCAAGGGCAGAGCAGTTTTCGGCCTTTTATACCAAACGTTTTCTTCTGAATTTGTTTTGTGAATTTCTTCAGTTTAATGATAGAAACATGACTCCATTTGTCATGTTTAACTTTATACTGCACTTTCTACTAAAGCATTTTTTTTTATTCTTAAACATTAAATGCCAAAGTAAATTGGCTAGGGTACCTAACTATTTTCTTTCGTAAATAATCCGTTGTGTTAGTCCCAATAACAACATTAGAAGCAAACTGTTTTGAGAGAAAGAAACGCTAACACCAAGACTCCCAGAAATCTGAAACTTCTAGAACTCCCAAAGATGTCATTTTGACTGCTCCCATTCAAACCAATGGAATTCTGAAAAAGCCCAAAACTTTTAGTTTTTCACCAGATTTATTCAAAGTAAGTTATATATAAGGTTTTTTTTTTTTAATTCACTCACGTCTAGTGACTAGAAACTAGTTTATTGAAAGAATACTAACTGCTGACAGTAAACAGTGTTTACTGTTTTTAGCACTTTCCCTTCTCTGGAGGAAATCATTGCTCTTGGAGTTAAAGTTACAATTCCTCATATTTCAAAAATAACATGAGATATCAGAAGAACGATGACATACAAATAAACTACATATCGATACAGAAAATCACAAATTTAGTAAGATCATAAAGGTACAGTCCTAATACTAAAACCCGTCATATTGACTGCTCTGGGAGCTCTAGTGTTGAATGGATTTTATTACATAGTTCATATTTTCATAGTTTGAAAGCTACCATAGATACCCCACTTTTAAGGACCAAAAATTAAAGCATGTAAGTATTGCATGAATACTGTTCTTTAAATCATCACATGTTTTTGTCATTTCTTGCAGCGCCCTTTCAAAGTAATACTCCAAATTTAAGCCACTGATTTGCATTTCATCTTGCATCCCAACATTGTGAGACATCGCAATTTCCTAAAGTATTTTTATCACTCGATCAGGCTTGTTTTTGACCAAATCCGGTCCACAGTTTGATACGAGGGAGGTGACAGACAGTGGAGCCCGAGGACACGTCTGTGAGTGGCAGGCTGACGTTCACACTTAAACGCTTTAATTGGACTAAAGACACAAAGGCCACCAGTGACGCAGAAGCAGCTATTATGGGCTGGCCACATCCAAGGTTTACTGGACCCTGTCTATTGGACGGAGCTATTTCCAACCCCACAATCTCTCTTCAGGAAGTGAGTTAAATATAAAATAAAGTGTAGGTTAATCAGTGCTTACGTGCCCCAGTTTGATCTTTTTATTAAGTGAAGAAACAATATGTTCACTGTAAGAAATTGCTGTAAATGTACGGCCAATTTTCAACACTAAAGTACCGTTTTCATGTTTAACAGGTTAGTACTTTAGTTTGCAATGCATTATGGTTTGCTTAACTAGAAGCAACAGGACAGGTGCCCTCAACAGTATAATGATGTGTAAATTACAGGACACTACAGTATATTTGAAAAAAATGCACACCTGGGTATTTTGGAGCAGGGTCAAAACTTTAGCCAGACATCGCTAGCTCAGGCTAGCCTAATGATTTTGGTCAAAAATATAGATACAATACAGAACTAATCTGCCATCAACATCAGAACCATCATCAGAACCATCATCAGAACCATCATCAGAACCATCATGTGGACGTCAGAACAGGATGTACTACAGTGCAATACATCATCGTGTGTTTTTCAACACCATTGTGAACATCTTGCATCTACAAATTAAATGGAAATTAAACTCTTTTTCATATTAATGTTTGATGCTCAGCTGTTGGTCAGAAGATTGTTTTCTAGTGATTTAAATATGGCATATCAGTGAGACTTGGATTTCAAGACAATTTTTTTTTAATTCGCTAACATTAGCCTATGCATGGAACAGCTCTTGTTAATGAAAAAAACTTTAAGAACATGAATACAACCAACCAATAAAACGGTATGATAAAACAGATGAACTGTACTAAAGTGTAACCTATTTCAAAACTTGCAGAAAAACTCCAAGACCTGTAAAAATACTATTTGCTTTAAATTTTTCATGCCCAATTTGTTAAGCAGTTTTAATCTTTTGGATAAATTTGACCTTTTAATATTTTTCTTTTGTTAAAATTGCATGTAATGTATTGTACTCTTCAGGTTTCTGCCACTGCATTTGACTTTGAGACAACTCTCTCATCTATTACTGCCAGGTATATCTTTAATTTAGATTAATCAGATAATTTATTATAGTAGCCATTCAACATCAGGTAACATGTATTCCTTTGTTGCTCTGACTTTAAGTTCCAGGGGCAACAGGGCAAGTTACAGTGAGAGGTTGGATGATCATTCTGTCCTGTAAACTCTGTGAGGGCATCTCACCAACATTTGCAACTGGACTTGCTACAGTGTTTACAATCTACGACCTATTTAACCTGCAGTATCAGGAAGAGGCTGCTCCCTGGAAGTCACTCAGAGGTAAAGTACCTTCTTTGAATATACAATTCAATCAATGTTGTTATATTTTGCATGAAATGGTATAAACATTGTACATTTAGGTTGTAGATTGTGTTATGTATTTGATGCAGCTTCTATTTGTCATTCAACCTATTTGAACAGTGAAAAAGAAACCAAATAAACAAACATTGTATTTAATTGAATATCTGAAAAGAATTTTGTTGTAACTTCAGTCTGATGTAAAACAATTCATTTGGAGTGTTTACTGAGAGTTTCTGATTTTGACATTGTAATGAAAACGATTGTTGTTTTTTGTCAGAGGAAACACTGGAATGATTCTGCAGTAAGGAACAGCGACCTCAAAAGTTAATCAAAAAGAAGATGTGAAAGTATAAGACAGGACGTTATAAAAGGTAAGTTCATCTTGCAGTGGCACAGCTTGGTTTCATCTATACATGTTTTTGTGTGCAATAAGTGGTCTTATTGCACATATTGAACATGTTGTGTTGTTTGAGACACGGCAGGTATTGATTTTTCAACCCCTGCCATTTTATAAAAAAAGATTTAAAAAACTAAAATAAAAACATTGTTTACTTTCTCTTTATTTACTCTGAAATAAAAGTTTATTTTTGATTCATTTTTTTGTAATGCATAAAAGTCACAAAAGTTATTTTCTATTGCTTTGATGAGTTGAGGTTGGTCTGCAGTAAACTATTAGAAGATAATAACAGTCTATATAGAATGTCTTTGTACTGTCCAAATAATATCTGCTGTTTGTATTCATGTATTATTTCTTCTACTGTATTAAACTGTGATTTACATAATACTGTGATCTGGAAAATCTCTGATTTACAGAAATGAAGCTTACGCGCAAATTCAGACTGAAAGACCGGGTGCAACTCCCCCCATCCAGGCCAACCAATCACACAGCTTTGCTATTCTCGAAGCTCTGCCAATCACTCAGCCCGGCCAGCCTCCTGCCAACAGCAGTTTAAAAGGCAGCCACTTCCTGATAATCAGCGCTTCCTGAAGCTCTTTACCCCCACCACCTCCCCAGCACCTCCTCCAGCTCTGGCTCTTGCTCTAGGCTCCCGCTCTGGCGACTGCTCCGCCTGCACCCCATTCACACCATGCTTCTAGCCACCACCAGTGCTTGACCCCGGGGGATCTGAGATCATCTTCAGCAGTGATTGAACTCCTCGCTGCAAGTGTCACTTCCGGGGTCAATGTGCCAAATAAATAAATAATTTTAATGTATTAATAGTCTGTCTGCGGTCTCTTCAGATTGAATACTACTGTCGAGTCATTCTATCTATGAATACCGTAAAATAACGGTGTACTGCTGGCAACCCTGCTGCCTGCACTTTTTACAGTGTTGTTTTGTAGTTTAGACCATACCTGCATGCGAAAGCCAGATCCTGTCATACCTCTGTAGCTGTGATGGGAGACTTCTGGGAATAACCGGTGCCACAGTGAGGCGACTGTGACTGTAAAGTGCCAAATTGTCGTTGTGTTCTTAGGCAAGACACTTCACCCACATTGCATAGAATGAATCTGATGTTTGTGTGAATGGTCAATGGCACATACTGGTTGAGCACGGTTGTAAAGCCCAAATGAGGTAAGTAAGTAAATAAGTAAGTAATCTTTATTTATATAGCGCCTTTCACAGACCAGAGTCACAAAGCGCCTTTCAATTGTGGGGGGTCGATGTGGTGGGTGGTATGGTGTGGTAGGAATGACGTGCATTTTCACGCACAACTCTACCCACAGTTTTGTATTCTTCCTGCTTCTGTTACAGTTTTCATGTGAGCCTTTGGACCATGGTCGAGGGGCGCAGGGGAGTGTGTCGCTCCAGGGCCAAAAACCTATGTGACCGTGCCCTTAAGCCTGGTTCACACGGCAGGATAATTGGGCCGATTTTGGACCCGATTTACCCCTACGACAATCGTAAGAATGCTCCGAATATCGTAACAAAAAATCTGATGGATGTTCCTGCTGTGTGTGGTGTTTTAAGACTGTGCTCGTCGCTCGGAAGGACTTCGGGACTGCTCCGATCTCAATATCGGGGATATCCAACATGTTGGATCGTTTTGGCCCGATTTCTTTCCGTGTGTGGTGTCCTCCTAGGACAGACGAGCGCGTTGCAATGACTGCGGCGTGTAGCCAATCAGAAGACGAGATGAGGCGGCGAGGAAACACCGTAAAAAACAACTCACCTCCAGATCACGATGTAACAAGTACAGTCCATGCTCGTGTTGTCTACACTTCTTTGACCATTGCCTTTTCTTTTGATTACGTCTTTTCTCTGCTTAAAACAAACTATCGCCACTGCATCCTCTTGGTTCGCCATGATTGTTTACTCTGAAGTCACGCTTGATCTCGAGAGATTTTGTGAGATTTCCGTCTGATCTGGGAATGCTCGGGGGGGAAATCGGTTCGTGTGTGATGTGTGTGGTTTGCGTGATTTTGTCGTGTGTTGGTTAGACCCTTGATTTTTTATCTCCGTGTGTGGGGTCTCACACAGAGAAAAAATCGTCCAATAATTTTAAAATCCTCTCGTGTGAACCAGGCTTTAGGTGCAAAATCTTTAATCACTGAATTACATTTTATACAGGAGTGCTTCACATCTTTTTTCTTTTCATGCTAATTTCCCAATGAATCCTCTCATTATGATTCTGAAGAGCACCCAACGTCATATCCAAACTTACTGACGCACTCATCTTCTATTTCATTTTTGTTTTTATTTATTTAACCAGGAAATTCCCCTTGAAATTCAAAGTTCCCTTTTCCAAGAGTGTCCTGGCCATGGGACATCAACAACACAACCAAACCCACAAACATTTCGAATCATGTCATGTGGTTCCCTATTTTTGCTTTTCTTTTGATTTTGAATTTGAATGTTTTTATTTGTTTTTATTTATTTTATTGTCTTATAAAAAGATAATATGTCACGTGTCTGGCAAAAATGTTTCCACCCGGAGTCTAACTAAACGAATTATTCATTAATATTTATTTTTATATCATTTTTCAAGAGTTATGTTTTGAACCAATCTTCAAAGCCATTTTTGACTCATAGAAACTGGACCTAGGGTTCCACAGTGTATCTCCGCTTTCGCCGCATCACGTCAGAATGCTACAATGTCAGCCCGCCTCCTTATGGTCGTGATTGGACACTGGTTTTTACTCATTGAATGCCAAGAACATAATTATACATTTTTGTTCACATACGTTCAGTGCCAAAAACTAAAAATTATCTTTTTGCCACTAAATATATACTTGAAAAATGTATGTTTTTAGTTTTTTAGAAATAAACTATATTTATTTCATACAAGCCATTCTGGATTTCTGGAGAAAACAGAACGATTTTGAAAATAACTAGTTACATTTAGCTCAGATTTTTGGAAACAACGGAACAAAAGCATGTCAAAATAATTGGTTCTCACCTACTGATAACTTACCGTCTCAGGAGGACATGTGGACATGGCAACAACGTAGACTACTCTGTGGCTCTACATAAATGGTCAAAAACCGTGTTGCTAACATGGTTGCTAAGGCAATGATTGTTCATCCTTTATGGCTCACATTATAGCCTGTCATTTCCCCCTTGTGTATCATTCATTCATATTTGGATTCACAAATCCACATAGAAAGAGCTTAACCGCATTCTTTTGGCCTAAAATGGTGAGTGTGACACAAACGGTTACTGAGCTAAAATAGTTTACCTTATGATGTAAATCAATAGGATCAAGTTGGAGCAAAAACTGCACCCATGAGCCCTTTCCTGTTGGGTTTTACTGAGCTAGCGTGTTATTATTGTTCATCTACACATGTATACGGTCTATGGCTAAACTGTGTATTGCTGTTGAGTGTTTTTGTATCCTGTTTATTTTTTGGGTACATATGTAAGTTTGAAAAATATAGACTACTAGACTGTGTGTATTAGGACCATAAGCACAATCAATGCATTATATGTGCCTGTATCATAGCTGAGAATAGCTGTCGCTGTGTAGGTGTGGGTCAGTCTGCAGGTTGAAGGCTTTTAAATCTCTCTTGAGTGACAGATGGCACACAAGGACTTTAGCACACGCACCTTGAACTTGAACATTCTCGCTATCTCCGCCTCACGTCCAGCGCTTTTCATGTCGCAAACTGCATCACCCTGGATTCAAAAAAAAAAAGTGTGTCACTGTAGGGATTTTCTCAAACCCGATTATCCTATTTATTTGCGTTTATATTTAGACAGATTTAAAGGCATCTGTAAATAGTGATCTCTGGCTGGGCTGCTTTAAATCCAGGGGAGAGAGAAAGAGAGAGAGAGAACTTGTGTATTTCCTAGTGGCGTAATAAAAACTATGAGAGCTTTAAATGTTTGTCCAGCTGAAACAACACAGTAAAACTCCTTCTCCCTCCTCCTCCTCTTTTGACTTGCTGTAGCCTAGTCGTCAAAGCAGCCCAGAGCCTAAAAATAGACAACGCTGGCTGGCTGGCTCCACGCCCCTGGCTTGGGGACAGGTCAAATTATGAAGGAAGATGAAAAATTTAAAGGCACAGACATTCGCCGCTGATAGCCAGTCCTGCATCCATCATCAACTAGAAAGGACATTTGATTTGACATCTGAGCCGGTTGATTGTAATATCACAAGAGTAGAGGCTGCACTTGTGAAGCGATCGCGCCTCAAACGAACTCTGTGGTCTTGTTTATGTTCTGCAGATACAAGTTTTCAAGGAAATGGTGTGAGCTTGCCCCGGAGAGCGTCTTGACACACTTTGAAGGCCTTATGTAATTGCGATCAAGCTGTTATGACACGGTACAGTTGGGTCGCAGGAAAGCATGCTTCCTGAGTAACATTACTGGCCTAAATTCACTCTAATGCATAGAATCTCACAGTAGTAAGTTTGCGTATTCAGGGGCTTTTGAATAAAACCATATCCTTAATGGATATTACTGGACTGATGATGCAAGATTCAGTTTGGATTCAGTTTATTCGCCGTTTAAGGATGAGATAACAGCACATTTATGCAGTTAAAAACCACACTGAAATGTGTGTGCATGAATATCCAGAGTACACAACAGACAGCAACAAAAACATAGAAAAGCAATTTGACAGAAATAATATTTAGAAATAAGCACAAACTAAAAGCAATTAAGTTCTAGATCATCCAATATTGTATACTAACATTTACAACTCATTTGATCTAAAATGTTCTCAGTCATTTTGTACATTCAAATCAAGAGACAGCGATCCAGAAATCATGGGACTGGTTTTTCTTTCCTATAAACTGGTTTGGAGACAGAACTGAACCAGGACAAACAGCATGTGTCTTTACCACACTTCATTTGCCCGTTACAAAGGTTTATGTTTTTTCATAAATATACACAAGTTGAGTTCATAAGTTAGTGTTCGTTCATGCAGAAAAAAATGAAGATTTAGATAAATCTGTATCATTTTTTCCCCATGCTCCCTGGCCCCTAAATACTTTTCAAGCGTGTTGATGAATTGGAAATGCACTTTTTTGGGAATATAAACTCTCTTTTTTTCTTCAACACGCCGTTTTTATGTGAAATTACTAGTAGTGATGCTTGCTCAAATGAGTGTCTAGTTTTGATACTAGCTTTAGTAATGTTTATATTTTTGTATCGATTTAAAGCTGAGTTACTTAACTTTCAAACCACAAAAAGGAACTATGATTATTCCTTTAGTTCTATCACTAGTTTTAAAGAGGCTTTTTTTCAGACAGAACAGTGAAAAAAGAGGACTTCCTCACTCACCCAATCAGCCCAATGTGTCAACATCTGACTGACAGGGCTCTTTCTTTACAAGTATGCAAAATATACTGATAAAGACAGCTCGTACATATTGTTTTTTTTTTTTGTATTCAGCACCCATGAAGACTTGTAGCATTCAACAGAATAGATTAAGAGATGTCAGATGTACACGTGCTATATTTGGCATTTAGTGAATCACACGCAGCTTCACAACCTTTGCCTATACATGTCCCCCCTTTTAGTAACATGAAGGTGAATCTTTGTACCCGAGAAAAGCGATGGAAATAGACACAGTGTGAAAGACTGGTTCAACAAGTCAAAGAGGCACAACCAAGCCTTCATGTGCGCATATATAGAGTATACTTTGGAGGCAGGAGACATGCCTACTGGCAGGAGCAGAAGAAGACAGCTGTGTTTGGTGGGGTATTTTTAAACGCATCAATGCTGCTCCAATCCCCGCTTCTCGCCTGACCTATTTTTAGCCAGGGCTGGCCATTGTTCTATTTCTGTCACCTGTGGGGCCACGCAGTTGTTGATTCACATGCAAATGAAGGCGCGCTCCCCTCCCTCCGCTTGGGTTTAGCGCTCTTGGAGTCTCTGTCAGTGCAGAACGCGCGGCTTCTCCTCCAGGCAGCTTCACATCTATCCCCGCTGGTCAGAGGTGGACTTTTCTCAGCGTGTTTTGAAGAGTTCTTTTTTCCTTTTTTTTGCCTGTAGGAAGGAAGGAGGCGGTAGAGTGAGAGAAGAGAGAGAAAGAGGGAGAGGCTCTGGTCTTTGGTCGCTTCCCCAGAGAGCGCGGCTGGGCTGAAGCGAAAGGGGTGGCTCTTCTGCTGTGACAGGAAGCAAAACAGTATACAGACTATTGCGATGAAGACCTGATCGCTGAGTGGAGTATGCTGCAGACGATTTACGAGGGCGAGTCGAGTTTCTCCACAACATACCAGCACCAGAAGAACCTCAGCAGCAAGATGCACAACGTGAACAACTCAGGTGAGGCGAAACGAGAGCGCGCACACACACACACACACACACACACACACACACACACACACACACACACACACACACACACACACACACACACACACACACACACACACACAAACACACTCATAGACACATGCACACAAATACATACATACACACACACACACACTCATAGACACACGCACACACACAGAGACAGACACACGCGCACAGACAGACGCGGACATCCTTCTCCATCCTCCCCAGCTCCCTCTCTCTCTTAACTCTTCTCGCCCCAACTCAAAGATTCTCAGTTGCAGCAGCAGCAGCAGCAGAAGTGGTATAAGAACTGTCTCGCCTTCTTTTTCTTCTTCATTTCACGGTATTTACTGCAATGTTTGTGCCACTTCTGCTCTTGTTATAATAGTACTTATACCTCCCCTTTAAAGTAGCACGCGTCTCCACTTTGGGGATGTTGCGCTTGGCTTGACTTGTGCAAGATTGTTCTGACACTTTTTACAGGAAGGAGGAACACGATCATTTGTCACACACACAACTAAAACTCTACTATTGAGACAGTGTAACTCATTGTTCAGGCTATTTTGGAATTTCTTTGAAAGTGGTTGACATCACAGTGACAGATGACTATGGCACTATTGACTAAACATGAGTCACGCTTCATTTGGTTTAGAGCTTTTGTTACCCGCAATAGATAAAGCTGAATATTTATAGACTTTACAAGAAGACTGTAGTGAGTGGATAGTCATGTGGATTTCTTAGGGAGCAAATATAAAGCAGTCATATGAGATATTACTGGGGGGGATGTACACTGACCTTTGACCATTCATTTTAAACAACTTCACGTGGGAACTTAAAAATAGCATTGTAAAAAAAACAAAAAACAAAAAAAGCAATCCACTTATCAAACATGTGTTGAAGCTTAAAAAGCTTCAGTTACAGAGGGTTGTATGGCAACACTGTACGTCATTTCAAGCTACAGCAACAGAAATTTCAATGTTGCAGCACACACCCACCCACACACACACACACACACACACACACACACACACACACATAGGACAGTATAGTAAGCCCAGGGAGCACACAAGATCTAAAAGAGATACAGAAAGGACAGGAACACATACAAATTCTACATTATGTATTCAAATATGGTTGTCCTGTGCTTGTCCAGTTCTGTATCCAAGTTCAGTTTTATCCAGCCTATAGTTGCCACATGAAAAGAGTATAGAATCTAGCTTTTGTCCATGAGCTAAACAACCCATAGAGAGAAGCACTGTGAATTGAGGCTCCTTGCGTATTCTCCGGGTCAGCTATTCTTAGGTGAGTTATTTTCAGCTTATGGCATTAGCCTGCTAAGATTAGGCATGTGTGCGTTATCATTCCACTCTGGCGCGTCTCGCTATAACAGTGGTTTTGGAACAGATATATATAGAAGCTCTTTCTGCTGTTTGTCAGTCTAATTTGTCCTTTCCACTTTTTTAGTAAGTCATTTGACAGTGACTAATATTACCAGGCTTAAAATATGTTGCCCTTTTGTGTCTGTTGTCGTCTCGATGCTGTTGCCATAGTCGATATAGCCTGCACTTAATGCTGCGGTACAGAGTTTCATTCATGCTGTTTGCGACAGAGAAAAAGGCTTGTGAAAATGAATGTTTGTGAACAAATCAGAACACAACATCCTTTGCCACAGAGCTCTGTAAGTCACTATTTGCCTGTTTGGATTGAGAGCTGATTGGCTGAGTGAGGGTATTCCTCTCTTTTTCACTTTTCTGTCAGAAAAAGCGTATCTAAAGATGTGATAGAGGTATCAGATAAGTGCTGTCAACATGTGAAATAGAACGTTGGACTTTTATATTTTATTTTTATTTTTTATATATTTTTTTCATAGACTTGTGTGTATGCATGTGTGACAGAGGCCAACAGAATACATATATGTGAAAACTACTGAGAGAATCTTATTAAAATATGTTTAAATGGTCCTTTTTGTACAGATTTCTTTAAAAAAATTCTATCCAAGACCTTTTGTGTTTATGCTTGTTTTCTTTGAATTAAAAATAATAATAATTAAAATATATGTGACAGAAGCCAGAAGAAATCCATGCATGTGAAACTATAGTGATAGAAAAACAACATGTCTTTTACATAGAGAGATTTACATTTTTTTCAGTTTGAAAATTACCTCAGCTCAAGTGCTCAGTGCACCAATAGCTTTGCATTTTTTTAATAATGTATATATTACATATTTTGTAAAGGTCCCCTCAATTACTTCTCACATGACCTCTGTTGCTACACAATGCCTTTATATCAGGTTGAAATTAAATCACATGAAAGCCAAGCTGCCACTCAGACAATAATAACACAGTAGCTTTCAAGCCCTCTCATCTGCATCTATTCACAGGGCTCTGTATGAAGTGCCCGTTGCTAAAGGGGACGCGGTACAATGGAAGCACATGGCTCGAATTGTAAATAGTCGTGTCGAGGTCTTATTAGATTCATGGGCATATGGTGCAGACAAATGAGGAGCGGAGAGAAATGCCATTATGGTCAAGAACAAGGCTTTGTTTGACAAGAACACTGGCTCCACTATAGTCTAAACTTCACAATATATGAAAAAGTACTGTCATATCCCTACTAGATTTTTTCATCGTATATGCATCTTGTTTTGTTGCTGTAATAACTCACAAATTGGCAAACTTTTTAAATGTTGCGTGGTGACGGCGACTCTTATTCTGCGAGCTTCTTGCTGTAGATTCTGTAGGTGAGAATTCTCCGTACAAACATGAGGAGGGAGCGTTTTCAGATTCGTGCGACTAAAATCCGGAGCAGTCTTCCTAAAAAATGTATCAAGCCTCTACTCTGACAATGTTAAAATCCAGGTTAAAACTGTTCTGTTCAGCTGCGCGCACAACTGAAGGCTTGTATCCACACTCTTTTTAATGTACTGTTATTATTTATGATTTTAATGAATCCTCTCTTCAAACAGTGCTAATAAAAAACAAACCTGCCTTGCCTCACTGGAGGTGGAGGATGATACACATACAAATATGGCAAGGCAGACGATCCTTAACATTAATTCATTAACTTATCTACATTTATGGACATTGCCCTTTAAGATCCAATGTGTTTTTATCATTGCATTTCTTGTGTTTGAACTGTTTGATTCTATGATCTGTGTTGGCAAATTCAACAGTTTTGTTAGGTCCTCCGAGATAACTTCTGTATTGATTCAGGGCTATACCAGAATACATCGAATTGAATTGAATAGACAACTAACTTTTATAAATACATATGTTTTGATAGAACACAACAACCGAAACACACTGGATTGTTATTCGAGGTCTCGCTACAAGACCACAAGCTCTATTCAGTGAGTACTATTTGTTAACAAACAGTCTGAAAAACCTCTCGCTCAGCTGCAACAAGGACGAACCCGAGTCTTAAAAATAAAGACCTCTTTCCTGCTTTAGACATGCCAGCTGCTCAAAATAACAGGCACTTAATGAGAGATCCAGCGCCACATTTCACTCCCCGGCATCAGCTTATTTTTGCCCTCAAACATCTCCTCTATCTCTGCTGCTATTTATACCGTCAGACAGGGAATGTAGATCAGCAGCCATCTCCGCGGGCTCCAAATCCATACAACATACGACATGTTTAAGGAGTAAACACGTCCTGGGCTGTTATGTTCCAAACACGGGTGCGTCACAGATAATATATACAGTGATAATGGATGAGCCGTGGTCAGAATCACGCTGAATAAACGCCTTTTAAGCAGAGAGAGAGCGGAGACTATGGGGGACAAGTTGTTCTTCTGTGATCCACGTGAACTGCCATTGTTGAATTATAGGCTTCATGAGGTCAACGAGGAAGCTGGAGGTTTGCTGCAGGCGGCTGCTTTATGCAACATCTGACATTAACTCAATATATTCCTCATTCTTCTCAGTTATAGGAAATTAATTGTTCTAGTTGCCAACTCGCATTGCTGTAGTCATTTGTAATTTAATTGTACATAATATGTCTTGCACAAAAGAGTGACATGTACATTTCTCCATTGTGAGATCAATAACGTTTAACTTATTTTATCTTATCTTGATTTGAGTGTTTCGAGATGTACTGTGATAATAAAATGTTCGAGTTATTTTTTTTGTAGAGCCCTATTTCACACCAGGAGTACGTTACAAAGAAAAAGATTAGAGAATCAAACAGTTAGAACACAGGCAATGCAGTAATAAAACCAATACATAGGAACCACTGGTCTCTGGGGCAATGTTTGTTAATGTGAATAAAGGTGCATAAAAGTCCTGGATCATCACTGTTTTAAGGCTCTCTTCAAATCCTTCACAAAATTCGGATAAAAAACAAAACAAAACATGCAAGCTCACCCGTCACAAATGTTGCAAAATAAGAATGATGATAGTTAGGGCTGAACAATAACATTACATTTCCTGATATTCATGCCAGAAATCTTGATATCCATACGTGTTGAGTGAGAAGTATTTTCCCTTACATTAAAAACATCTTAACCATAATATTAGAGTGATGTTTTATTGGAAATGTATGTTAATATCTTGATGGTCCTCCCTTTTTCACTTTTCTGTCTGAAAAAGCTGATCCAGAAATATAGAGGCACTTTCTTCTTTCCTACACCTCTTGACTATGTGTTTTGTAAGCGTGCAATGTAAAATATGGGGCACCGTTCCATCAAGTAGTTTATTCCATAGTGTTTTTTTGTATGAATACCTTGAATGTGCTTCTAATGAAAATCTCATGTTTAGTTCCTTTAACTGCTGAAGCTGCTGTGATAGCCACTATTGTCCGTCCACATGTTTTAAACCAGACACAGTGTTTAAACGTCTCAAAGTGTTGTCGCCGAACCCGATCACACGTGCGGCGACTAAATATACACGTTACATCTTGCTCTCATGTGATGCTGGTGTTGCGGGTAATGTGTGCGGACCCTGCTAATGTGGCTGCAGGCTAAAACAGACGCGCTGATCCCACGT